ATTTTAATTGATTTTATTTTTAAAATTGATTGAAATTATTTTTGTATTTATTAATCAAAGTAATTATTAATTTTTAATATTTTATTTTTAAAATTTATTAATTTGAAATAATTTCATTCATTAAATTTATTAAAATACATGATATATTTTTCTTTAATAGGCATCTAAAATATTGATATCATTTAATTATACAATTATTTTTTCCTTGTACTATTTTATTTCTAAAATTACTTGAAATTAGTTTTAATTCTAATTTTAAAAAGATTTCATTCATTTTATTATCTAGAGTAGTAATTGATTTTATTTTCAAAATTACTTGAGAATAATTTTAATTTTAAATTGATTTCATTCATTTCATTATATAAAGTGATTATATATTTTATTTCTAAAATCAAATTGATTTGATTTTAAATTAAAATCGTTTTCTAATTTGAAATAGTAATTTAATTTTAAATTACATTTAAATTCATTTAAAATTTTTTATTCATTAATTGTGCTTTGACTTTAAATAGAATTTATAGTTTAATTATTATATTATCTATTAATTAAATAAATAAAAATATAAAAAATAAAGAAAAATGAAAAAATATAAAAATGTAAAAAAAGAAGAAGTTGAATCAGTTCAAGTCAATCGAGTTTGGGTAAACTGGGTTGACAAAGTTTGGGTGGGTTTGACCAGGTTTGGGCGAGTTTGACCAAGTTTGAGTGGGTTTTGACTATGTCTGACTTCAAATGGGTTATTATCATAACTAGGGGTATTTATATTCGATCCAATCTGATTGATTCGATCTAAATTTATCTAATCTGATAAAAAAAACCAAATCAAATCGATATAAAATTGGATTGATTTAGATTATAAAATTTTAAAACCGATATAATTGGTTCAATTTGTGGTTTTACCTTTAAACAGTTTGAACTGTCCGATTGCAAAATAAAATCTGATTATAATGTAACTTAATTAAATAATATAGTATATTTTTTGTACCTATAAAAAAGATTATATTTTTTTGTAATATTTTAATTTTTTCTTATTTTACAATATGATAACTCTATTAACTTAATTAAAAAATAAAATTAAAATATTCTCATATTATCTAATTTTTCTTTCTTTCTAAATTGTGCACTCTAACTCTAATTTTAAATTTTCAATTCGTCTGCAATTCTATTTCTTATAATTGGTCTACGACTATACTTTTAAAATCCTAAATCTTTAATTTGTTCTTAAAATAATATTCTGATTTTCTTAACTAAATTTTAAGAAATATCATTCTAGAAGTCTTAAAATTATATAATATAACTAATTTTGATATTCTATTATTCTTGGATATTTGGTTGAGGAGTTTTAAATCTTAATTATGAATGCTTCTAATTTTTTCTAATGACATTTATGTTAAATTTTATTTACTTTTAATAGGGTTTGGAAAATGGGATTGAATCATTTGGTGCATTAAGAGAAAAAAAAAAACTAATTTTAACCTTTGAAAATTACTTGTATTGTATTTAAAATTTAAAATAATCTTTTATTATCTTTAGTGTCTCTGGTGTTATAACCAAAAAGAATTTTCTTATATTTTCAATCTTTACAATTGTAACTGAGTATAAAAACTTATTTATAATTTGTGCATTTTATTATGTTTCTAGTGATTTGATATTAATTTATTTTATAGTTATGTTTTCTACTTAATGTTAAAATTTTTTATATTATCTCATATATTTAATAGTGTCAAAAACCGATCAATTTGACTGAACCACACCGATCCAATTTAAATTGGATTGGTTTGATTATAATAAAATAGTTGATTAGATTGGTTTAAAAATTTTATCAACTGATTAAATTAGATTGGTTTAAAAAATATTAAAAGTCGAACCAAATCACATTGTGAATACCCCTAATCATAACTTGATCTTATTTTAGAATCAAGTTTGGTTTAACCAAGTTAAACTGACTGAATCTCAAAACAATGGTTAGAAGGAGGTGGTTACATGGTCTTCAACTAAAATTAATTGATATTGTAGATTTGATGGAGTGTGTTTACTTACTGTTGAGATGTGCTGTTATTTTAGATGTGAGAAGAGAAATAATAGGAAGATAATTGATAAGAAGGATTTGTTTCCTTTGAAACCAAGCTAAACTTAGACACGAATGCTAGCACATGTTGTTTTTGCCACTGAACAACCAATGAAGTGAATTCAATTATTGCAGATACTGTTCATGTTGTGAAACCAAACTAAACTTGGACGCTAAAGCTAGTGAATGTTGTTTTATTCATTGAACAATGAACAAATTGCTCAATTACTCCTCCGTATGGGGCTCAACAAACTCCCCTTCTTGACCTTTCTATGTAGGCACTAATTGTCCTCACATTCCCTTTATCTCTTTTCCAAGCTGAAATTGAAATAATTTAAATTGAGGGACAAAATTACAAAGACCCTGGAAATTAATAAGGGACTAATTTGCCAACCTTATAGAAGTTGAAAGAGCAATCTTACGATAACCCTACTTTTTTTCTTCTTCATTTAGTATGGCTATTTTCTATTAAATGCTAATTATTTTGTTTTCCTAAGTTTTTTAAAATTCAAATACGTTAGTGTAAATCAAGTTGGAAAAATAATAGTCAATTATAGTCCACAATGAACACCAAAATTGACACATTATTGAATCTAATCTCACACTATTACATTATGTTAATCATGCGCGCAATTTCTGTCATACATTCTTTACTATTCTCTACCTCATTTAGCAACTACCCAATTTTATTCTCTCCATTGAATTTCTTTTAAAAAATTTTAAAACCAAACTAATAAAATTTTTTGAGTGTACATTCTATCCCTATTTATGAATCCTATGCTCAAAATAAATTTTTATTGAGATCTTAAAAATCGTTTCTTTTTATAAATGATATAATGTTATGTAAGATTTTAAATTTTTAATAATACTATAATATTAAATGAGTAAATTCATAATAATTCATTTGTAGGCCTCAAATAAAAAGAGTGAATCTTTTTTTTGGTCTCTTTTAAGGACGGTTGAAAATGGAGACTCATAAAATTTATTCAAGGCACATACAACAATCTCTATTGAAAATTCCTTCTTTTTTTTTTTTTTTTGTTAGACATTCACTTCCTTTCTTATATGAACTTAGGTCAAATATATTTATCAACCATAAAGCTATACAACGTCCACATACAAAAAATTTCTAATCTCATTTATCAAGACTTGCAACACATAAAGCATAAATAAAGATAACAAAATTAAGAGTATATCAAGTTTAACATCATTTACATACTAACAAAAGATGGTATCACATGACAACTTTTAAGGAAGCTATCATTAGTTACAATTTTGGGCATACATTAACACCTTTCAATCTACTCTTTAAAATCACAAGACCATGTTTCTGACACATGGCCATGTAGATCGAGATTTTTTCTTCCTTATCTTGAGTTGTGATGGTGATTAGGTTTTGAGATCTAAAAATAAGGGTTATTGACGGTGGGCTTTGTAGGGTGGATTAAGGTTAGGAAAAGATAGGGTTTTGGGCAGTTGTTCTAGTAAAAGGGGGTAAGCTAGTAAAAGAAACAAACTAGAAAGCAAGTGGAAAGAAATGATGAGGAGAAACATGACAAGCACAAAACAACAAGCGAAAGACTGGAACATAGCAAAAAAGCGTGCACCAAAACTCCAGAAAACAGAGTTGTAGAGACTTCTCCTGGTCATCCTCTTCCTTATTTGCCCAAACATCTACTCCTTTTATACCTTCCTTTCCCACTCTTGAACTAAATGAAATGCCATTCACACAACAAAAATTTTGACTTTTCACCTATTGTGGAATGGCCTGTTTACTCCTCTAATACAACTAATAATTAATTACTATCAAGACTTTTTTATTACTTTCTCTACCCAAAATTATTGACATTTTTTTATTTTATCTTTAAATTAAGAATTTAGGGATAATTTTTTTTAACCTATATTACCTTTTAAAAAATACTAAAAATAATGAGACTTAAATCACAATAGTATATGGATAATTAAATCAAGAGATAATGATAAAGTGTTGAAGTATGTTTCCCTTGTAAGTGCGAAGAATAAAAATCCTATATCACAGAAATATAAAAGGAAAGAGTAGAGAGTGGTTTAAATATGTTAGGTTAAACCCTCATTTTGGTCCCTCAATTATTGTATGAATCCCCTATTTAGTTTCTCAACTAAAAAAATTTCTGATTTGATTTTTATTGTTTACCATTTTGACTCCAATTTGGTCCCTCCATTAAAAATCTGCCTACGTGTCCCGTTAGTTGACAAGAAAAGATGACATGTAAAAATATTTTGACATGTATGATTGACAACATGGCATATAAAACTTGACATGTAATTTTTAGTAAAAATTAAAGTTTCTAAAATTAATTGTAAAACTAAAATTACTTTTTTACCCTCATCTTCAACCACACATCAATTTCTTTCCATTTTCCTTTCGTTACCCCTACGATTTCATCTCTAGCATCTTACGTTCATCTTTTTCTCCCAGATCCTTATTCGTTGGGGGGTTTTGGGTTCGATTCATGAACCCAAGAGGCGTCGTTGGGTTTAATCAATGAACCCAGCAGGCGCCGCTGGGTTTGTCGATCGAACCCAGGAGCCCCTGTTGGGTTCTACTAGGTTCGTCGATCAAACCCAGTAGGCACCGTTGGGTTCGTCAATAAAACCCAGGAACGCTTGCTTGGTTCATCGATTGAACCTAAGAGCACTTGTTGGGTCCTGCTGGGTTCGTCGATCGAACCCAGTAAGTGTTCCTAGGTTCGCCTACTAGGTTCATCAATGGAACCCAACGACGCCTGCTGGGTTCGTCAATCGAACCTAGCAAGCACTGTTTGGTTCGATTGAAGAACCCCTGATGAGTTTGATTGAAGAATGTTGGCCTTTCTAGGTTTAATTGACAAATGATAGGTTCGATTGAAGAACTGTTGCTGGGTTTGATTGAAGATACCTTGATTTTTCTGGGTTTTTTGGAAGGTTGAAAAGGCAATGACTATTTTGGGGAGATTCTGGGTTTATGTTTGACGTTTGTGTTGTACTTGGATTTGATGTTAGAAAATTTCTGGGTTTACAAAAGGTGAAAGAAAAGGAAGAGGAAGAAGAAGTGGTTGCTAGGTTCGATTGCAAACCCAGCGCACCTGCTGGGTTCAATTGACCAAGCGACTCTTGGGGTTCGAAAAAACCCAATTGTGCTGGGTTCCTTTGAACCCAGCTTTCAAACCCAACAAAAGAGAGAAATTGGAAGGGTTTAGATCTAGTGTTGGGGGAGGGATAGAGAGAGAAAAAAAAAATGAAAGGATGAAATTCCAGGTTTCATTGAGGGCAATTGCAAGTTTCATCTTTAGAGTTTGTAGGAGGCAAGGAAGAAGAAAGAGAATTTTTTAAGTATTTTTTTGCCATATCATCATTTTTTGCCATGTCTTCCTGCCTGTATTTAATATGTTACATGGTAGTATCAATGAGAATCAAAACATGTAAACCCACGCTATTGCTACTCAAAAGAGTAGAGAGTTTTAGTAGCAAAGTTTGTACTTGTATTACGAATGATTTAAAGTTGCACTATTTTTATTTATAGAAAGTTGCACTATTTATTGATTAAGTTAATTAAGTTAAATTATATAATAATAGAAAAGAAAATGATAACTAATACAATTAATATTATAGTATAATAATTAAAAAAATATTATACTATAGAAATTAGAAAAGTATGACAAAAAAAATTTTAAATTCAATTTATTAACTATATTTTTATTTTACCAAAATATTCAAATAATATATTTAATAAAAAAGTAAATATTATATTATTTAATTAAATTATTTTGTAATCAAGCAATTTAATTATTTGAAGGTAAAATTATAAACCAAGCTAATAATATCAGTTTTGAAATTTCCTAATCCAAATCAACCTAACTTGATGTCTATTTTAATAAGATTGGATTAGTTTTGGTTAGACCAATTGGTTTGGATTGGATATGAGCAGTCCTAATGGAGACTATAAAAAGGTAATTCTTTATAAATTATCAAATGCTAGTGCGGATGAGTATTTCTTATTGGGGTAGAGAAGGATTAGTCCCGAGACACATAAATTGGTCTAAAAT